AGATCCACGATGAACACATTGGGGGTAGGAACACGGAAGGCCATGCCCTTGTGAGCTTCCCGTTCAGCTCTGGGACGACCTTGCCCACAGCCTTGGTGGCACCGGTGGATGCAGGGATGATGTTCTGGGCAGCCCCACGGTCATCACGCCACAGCTTCCCAGAGAGGCCATCCATGGTCTTCTGGGTGGCAGTGATGGCATGGACTGTGGTCATGAGTCTTTCCACAATACCAAAGTTGTCATGGATGACCTTGACCAGGGGGGCTAAGCAGTTAGTGGTGCAAGAAGCATTGCTAATAATCTTGAGTGAATTGTCGTACTTCTCATGGTTGACACCCATCACAAACATGGGGGCGTCAGCAGAAGGGGCAGAGATGATGACCCTTTTGGCCCTGCCCTTCAAGTGGGCCCCAGCCTTCTCCATGGAGGTGAAGACACCAGTGGACTCCACAACATACTCAGCATCAGCATCAGCCCACTTGATGTTAGTGGGATCTCACTCCTGGAAGATGGTAATGGCCTTCCCGTTGATGACCAGCTTCCCGTTCTTAGCCTTGACTGTGCCGTTGAACTTGCCATGGGTAGAGTCATACTGGAATATGTAGACTATGTAGTTGAGGTCAATGAAGGGATCATTGATGGCAACAATATCAACTTTTCCAGACTGGAAGGCAGCCCTGGCAACCAGGCATTCGGCCAAATCCGTTCACTCTGACCTCCACCATTGTGTCAGGAACGAGGCTGGCACTGCACAGAAAGATGCGGCTGTCTCTGGAACAGAGAGGAGCAAAGAGCCTACACTTTGTTTCTTAAAGAGAAATAAAGATCCGTGTAGCTAGAATTTTTCTGGTCCTGCCTGGCCCATGGTCAGGACAAATCTCTCTCACCCACCAGTCCCGCAATGGCTCAGGCCCAACATGCAGAGTAAACACACAGAGACTTATATTGATTACAAACTGTATGGCCGTGGCAGGCTTCTTGCTATCTAGTTCCTCTATCTTAAATTAACCCATTTCTATTAATCTATAAGTTGCCATGTGGCTCGTGGCTTACCGGTATCTGAACATCTGCTTCTCATCATGGCGGCTGGCAGTGTCTCTCACTCAGCCTCCCACTTCCCAGAATTCCCCTCTCTCCTTGTCCCGCCTATACTTCCTGCCTGGCTACTGGCCAATCAATGTTTTCTTTATTAACCAATCGGAGCAACACTTCTAACATACAAAATATCCCACAGCAGGCAGGAGCTTCAAATTTTTTATATCTTAATTAAGAGACTGATTGGCCTAACCTTCCTAAATTTTTCTGGTTAAGCATATTTACTAGAGGGACTTATATCAAACAGAGATGTTTTACAGTGTGAAAAACAGAACACTGTGGCAGTGCTTTGTACCAAAGGGAATTGTGTTCTGCAGTGTGCCAGTTTAAGCACAATCAAAAAATCAATTAGTTAATATTAAGTTCTTAGTACACTATTAACTAACTTGCTTAATATGTAATATTTGACAACCTGGATACTTGGTAATTTCTTTGTTTGACAAATTGCCACCAAATATTATTTTTTATGTGTCAGAGGGTAGCTATACTTCTCAATGTTAACAAGTGTCCATTTTGCCACTCTAAAAAGGCAGAAGGTATATGAAAGAAATTGACCTGCAGTGTCCAAACTATAAATGCAAACGAGATCTTCAAGTCCATTAACAAGCTAACAACAGAGTAGTCACTTACCTCCTAGATCAGTGGTTCTCCACCTTCCTATTACCATGACCCTTTAATACAGTTCATGTTGTGGTGACCCCCCCAACCATAAAACTGTTTCCATTGCTACTTCATAACTGTAATCTTGCTGTTAGAAATCATAAATATCTGATTTGCCGGATACACTTTCTCATTGTTGTAAATTGACCTGTGGGCGTCTCGACCCACAGATTGAGAACCTTTGTCCTACACATTTTCTGTGCTTGGGTGGAACTTTGACGTTAACATGGGATGCTGCTCAGAGTAGTGAAGGTGCCAAGATGCCATTTAGCATGAAAATTAGTGCAGTACTTTAGTTGGGCAAAAGAACAGTTTTGTTTACAAATTAAACAAATACTTTCACTGTTTTTATAGTTCTAGAATGTAAACATGAGTAAGGAATAAGAAAGCACAAGTTGCTTCAGGAGAGAACTCTTCCTGGATTCTAGAATGGTTGAAAATGCAATAATACAACATGAGGATTCTGCTAAAGGTGACACCATTTAGATGACTTTATTTGAGAGCTTTTTAAAGGACAATGATCCATTTTGTATCAAATATTACTGTCCTGGATAGTTTTATCTCAACTTAACACAAGCTAAAGTCATCAGAGAGGAGGAGAACCCCAACTGAAAAAAAAAATGCCTCCATAAGATTGGGCCCTACGCAGGCCTGTAGTGTATTTTCTTAATTAGTGATAGAGGAGAACCCAACCATTGTGTGTGGTGCCATCCCTGGACTGGTGGTCCTGGGTTCTATAAGAAAGCAGGCTGAGCAAGCCATAGAAAGTCAATAAGCAGCTCCCCTCAAAGGCCTCTGCATCAGCTCCTGTCCCCAGGTTCCTGCCCTGCTTGTGTTCCTGTCTCAATCTTTCATTGACAAACAGACATGTGGAAGTATATGCCAAATAAACCTTCTCATCCCCAACTTGATTTTGGTCATAACATTTCATTACAGCAATAGAAACCCTGACTAAGACACTTTCATTGATTCCAAACTAGAACTCAATTCCCTTTTGCTAAAATGATAACTTTTTCTTGGAATATTGATCTGGTCTTCCCTCCCAGGATATCTTATTTAAAAAAAAGCTGGGCTAGAGACAGACTATCCCAAGATTCAAAGCACATACCTGCAGACCAAAGCTCACAACTGTTTGTGTAGATATGGCTTCATCAGAAGACCGGCATGCATATTAACTTACATGCTGTCAGTGGAGTTGCCACAAAGACCTCATGATCCTCAAATTTTAAGATATTTATTATGTATCCCTTTACAATAAAGTTTACTGCCTCTTGCTGTAGGGAAGGAGTGAAGTCCTGAGTGAATGTGTATTGTTTGACCTGGGCATGGCCATGCCAAGAACTCCAATACCTTAGATCCAAGGGAAAAGGCAAGGCTTCTTCCTGGTCCTTGGGTAGATGTTTACAGCATGTGCAGGAAATGTCCACCATAGCTTTTTCCCCCTGGATGTTTAGGTCCCTTATGGAGACTGCTCCTACTAACACTAGATAAACCTGCCTCCCTCTTCAGCTGTATACAGTAATCCCAACTCTTTGCTCATCTGCATATAATAATGCTGCATCCTTGTTCACCTGTCTAAAATAAGCACGCTGAGCATCCAGAGTGCTGAAACTTCTCCATTAGAGAGCCCCGCCCACCTAATCCCAGCTTGTCTGTGTGTCATTTCTTCATCCCCTCACTGCCCCACTTAGGTTGATCCTTGGAGCCATGCAGAGTGTGGCAAGTGACACCTGAACAGGGATTTGAACCATGGGCCTAAAACACCTGACTATGGGAAACTTGAATTGGTCAAAACAGGGAATGCTCCCGAGAGAAACATGAAAGTAAAGGCAAAAGAAAAGATAAAAATGAAGGCAAAGGAGGGGCGTGGAACTTTAAGCATCAGGTCTAACACACGACATGTAGAGACGAGGTTATCTGTGGGGCTTTGGGGAGAATTTTGATAAACCATGGAAGTGGGGTGGAGACATTGCAGCTTCATCAGTTTTGGGGCTGTGTTTGGGAGGTAGGCCCTTGGTTTCTGGTGAAAGGGAATGAGGAATTTGGCTACTTGGAAAATGGATGGATAGATAGATAGATAGATAGATAGATAGATAGATAGATAGATAGATAATAGATAGATGAATGGATAGGTAGATAGTAGATGAATAGATAGAATAAATAGGTGGATAGTAGATGATGGATGGATAAATAGACAGATGATAGATAGATAGATAGATAGATAGATAGATAGATAGATAGATAGATAGATAGAAGATGATGAATGGATGGATGGAAAGATAAGATAGATAGATAGATATACAGACAGACAGACAAACAGATAGATGGATGATAGATAGATAAACAAATAAAGAAATGGTGAAAAATTGAGGGTTAGATACACAGCCAAGACACCAGAGCATGCTCCCACATTTGCTTTTGGTTTAACAGCTTTTTGTCACATCTGACAGAAACAATTGGTGGCCAGGTGATAGATGCACAGTTATGGAGCTCTGGCTGGGCAACAGGACTACCTGACTACTCACTTGTGTGGGCCACAGAAGCTTGGTGAGCTGGCCCTTTCCAGCAGCTGCACTGGGAGCCCATGCCAAACAATACACTCACTCAGGACTTCCCTCGCACCCTGGGTCTCCCCTTTCTTATTTCTTACATGTTCAGGGCTGACCTTCATACTTATTCCAGGGGCAGTTCACTGCAGTGCTCACACCATACTGAATGATGATAAGAAGGGAGATGGTCATGGCAGCCTTTTGACCAAGAGAAACACAAGCAACGTTTTAGCAAGTTAAGGGGTTGGAGCTCATCAAGGATCAATTTTGCAATATTAGCCAGAGAAGCCAATCTGATATGAAGCCTTCTGCATTTCTAGGTTGTGCTGATTTAACTGGGCCACATCTGTGCTATCATTACTGTGGGTCCAAGCTCCCAGGAGGTAGGTCCCAATTATATCTGCTCTCATTTTAAGGGGCTACTGTCAGGCACATGTGTTGGCAATCCATGTGACATTGTAAATCCTGTCTAAACTGGAGGGCTGGAACCTACCCCAAATATTCGTACAGAGCCCACTGGGACTCCAGGTAGTTAGAAAAATGCCCTTCCCCACAGAATGGGGGAAAGTCATTGGTGTAAACACATATAGGAAGATGTGACCAAGCCACTGGGTAAAAGTGCAAAGGCTTCTCCTTTGACCAGTTTTACCTGCTTACATATAATTACCAGGCACATGGGAAATATTACTGCTGGGTAATTTGGGTTACGTTGTTCAAAAACAGGGTAACATTCAAAGAAGCCAAGATTTGTCCCTTTGGCTGCCTGCCTCCTCAGCATGCTGCACTGGCAACAGCAGCAGCATGTGATCCTGACTCTTCCATGTCTATGTATCTGTCCATCCATCATCATCCCTAGGCAGGGTTCTTAGCCCCAAGCCATTCAAGGACATGGCACCTCACCTCGAAGCTGCTGACCTTTACAGACAGAGAGGAAGGCTATCTGCAGGTTCCAGGAGTCTTGACAGAGAAGACAGTAGTTCGTCCACATGTACAGACCTTGTGGCACAAATGGTAGGCAAAAATATCTTGAGTTTGTTTTCCAAGCCCTAGCTTACAAGAAAAAAAATAAAACAAAATAAAGCCCCTTTCTGAAAAGGTAGAAAACATTGGGTTTCTCCAAGGAAAAGTTAATTTCCTGGATTTTGGAGATAGAGGTGTAGGAGGCAATGTGCTTGCTTTGTAAGCATAAGGACCCGTGTTTGATACTGAGAACCCACATAAAAGGCTGGATGTAGGGGTGCCCACTCAGAGTCCCAGAGACAGGTGGATCTCTGAGGCTCATCAGACTCTGTCTAAAAAGTCAAGGTGGATGGCTACTGAGAAACAACGCTTGAGGTTGACTTCTGCCCCCACATGTATGCGCACATATAAACATGTATACACAAATATATGGACGGACGGACACACACACACACACACACACACACACACAGTTTGCTTAGAGCCACATTGTCCTCTCATTTTGTTAACAAAATCAACAGTGACTTTTTAATATTAACAGTTTTTGTGCAACTATGTAAATGAACCAAGTCCATTCCCTCATGAAACCAGCTTTTTTTGTGATCCAAACTAATTTTTGGAGCGTTTCATAATCAAAGCAGAAATTCTTTAAAATGTTGTAAGTTGATGGAGCTTTGTCAGAACACAGCAAGTGACCCTTATCAACAGGGACCTTCTTTCATCAAGCCTTGTGCCAGCAGCTGCTGGCTTTCATCAAGGCCTCTGTGGGCTGCTTCAGAGGCAAGATCGGTGGCTTCAGTAGAGACCAAACCTACAGTGGTTATGACGTGACCCCTGGGAAAAAAACAAAACAACAACAAAACAAAAAACCCTTTCCAATCATTGCTCTGGAGGTGTTTTTCATTGACTTACTAGTGAGCAGGATGATTCTCAATTCTGTGTGGGCAAATACAACTTGTAGAAAGATTTCTGTCAGACGGGAATGCAGAGCCTTTTCTTTTCTTTTTGTAGACATCAGAGGACTTCTGTAGGAGAGTGGAGAAACACCCGAGCACTGTGTTTACTGTGCTGTGGGATGCCTACCAAGTTCACTAGGGAAACAAACCTCAGGCATTTCTCCCCTTTGTTCACTACATACATCGCTTTATCCAGCTTCATTGTTGATTTCTCATTGATTAATTACTTCAATAAATCTGCTGTGTATTCACTTAAAAATTAAAAGATGATTAATATGCAGTTCAATTTTTACCTTCAGAGGTAGCATTGATCAAATTCTTGTGATACAGTTATGATTTTGATGTCATAAATCAGAAAAATGTAAGTTGAAACTCTTTGATGAGGTAGATAAATGCACTGCCACCATTACTGACAAACAGTAAAGATTGGTAATATCTAGTTGCAAAAAACTGGGGAAAATACACTCCATTTATAGATATGTATCTCAAGGGAGCCAGCCTAAAGAAGAGTCTTTATTCGTTCAGTAAATTTGAAATTACTGGTAAGCTAGGACAGACAGGCTCTTCCAGAAGCCTACACACATGCATAAGGACACCCATTCCAGAATGTTTATAGCAGAAATGTTTGTAGCATCAAGCAAACAAACCTGGAGATAAACAATACTGCCCACATCAGATATGTAAAGCAAGTGTTCCACAGCCACAAGACCCAAATGGAAGAATCTAAGAATGGACAATCAGGTTTAAAATTCAAGTCAAGAAAGAACACAAAGACTGTGACTTCATGTAAACAAAGTCAAATCAAACAGACTCCAATACATTAGGTTTTGAGTACATGATAATACTACAAATTAAAAACATGTAACTCGCCGGGCGGTGGTGGTACACGCCTTTAATCCCAGCACTCAGGAGGCAGAGCCAGGTGAATCTGTGAGTTTGAGGCCAGCCTGGTCTGAAGAGTGAGTTCCAGGACAGGCACCAAAACTACACAGAGAAACCCTGTCTCAAAAAAACAAACAGACAAAACAAACAAACAAACATGTAACCCTAAGACAAAAGTCAAGCTCATAGCTACCTCTAGGTAGGGTACAAGGAAAGATTCAGAATCTAGGAAAAGCCTAGAGGGAAATGTAAAAGGAAGTCAGGTTTTTTTTCCCCCTAAGTTGTCTTGACAAATAATATGCTTGACTTAACACTGTTGCTTAAACCTTATAAACACTGTTTTGAAAACACTCAACATTTAGTAAAACAAACAAACAAACAAAAAACTCAAACAACAACAAAACAAGTATTGTGATAGAGCCTGTCTGTGAACTAAAGGATGGACTATACAAATTAAAACATGCAAGGCAAGAAGAATTCTGTATGTTAGCCAAGATGCTACAGGTTACAAACGAACTATGTGTAAAATAGGCTTAGCACAAGAGAAGGTCAAGGCTAGGGTCTCTGCCTCAGCTCAGCAAGGGGAGGTGGGGAAGACTGGTCACATCATTATCCTGGACCCTGCTTCCTTTCTTACAGGATCTCTTTCCCTTAGGATGGTAAGTCCAACATGTAGGTTCTTTTGCTACATTGTCTAGGTTGGGGCCTTGGTGCAGTGAGGGAGACCCATGCTGTTCACCAGGAGGTCCCGGTGTGAGTTTTTATTGTTTCCCCCATTGGCTCACTTTGAAACATGGCTGCTCTTGTCCAGCCATTGCCCTGGAGTACAGTGTTCTGATTGGCCAGAACAAATCACACGTGCCCTCTGGGCTCTAGTGGGAACTGGATCCACTCACCCTGTATAACCAAAGGTGAAAAGAAACACTGATACCAGGATGTTCTTTTCCAAAAGATTCAAATGAAGTCCTGGTGGCAAAATTTAAAAAACATCCAAAAAACACAGAGTCTGGGTTATTCTTAGTGAGCCTGATGAGCACAAACCAAAGAAGACCAGTGGCCCAGCCACTCAGTGTTTGTGTTTACCTGTGTTCCCTAGGAGTCTGGGCCAGAATCCTAGGCTTTTGAGCTTTTAACTCACTAGGGGAGCCCTGAAGAACAAGGGACAAAGAAAACCAAGAGGGCAGTGGGGTAGGGGTAGAGCATCCAAAGTACAGGGATGAGACAGCGGCCATTGAATGTGGCACGTTTCTCTACCATTCAGGAACATCTTCCAAGTTCTATAAAACGACCTGTCTTCTGATCAAGGTGGGTGGCGCCGGTCACATAGAGAAAGCTGACTAAAAAAGTCATGAAATGGGAGAGAATACGGACGACCCAGGCAGGCGGAGTTACGGCACAACTGTTGGAAGGAACTCCGGGGCTGTGCTTTCTGGAGGAAGAAGGCTACTTGGAGCAGGGTCCCTGCCCAGTGCGGATTTCCTTCCTTTTTTTGCCTCAGGGGCTTCAGATGCAGTTAACGCCCACAGTTGACTGGAGGCAGCAACCACCAAGGGCCCGGCAGGAGGAGTCTTCTGTCTTATTTCTGGGGCAGGTCTCAGGACCAGTCAGCATCAAGTCTGCCTGCTTTTGTGACTCCTCCCACTTGGTACCCGGGCCAGCTGCTGAGCAAAAATAAGGACTAGGAAAACTCCAGGCAGCTTGATGAAGAGATGAAAGGGTTAAAGACATCATTTGAGTGGGGGAAGGGAGGGTGTTAGTTAGAATGGTGGTCTCAGCCCAGGGACTGCTCTGTGACTGTGTGAAGTTATGGCTCCCCGAAGGTTAAGTTTTTTCGAGAGGCGTTCTGTACCACTCTAATGTAGAATTGGTTTCTGGGAGGTCAGCAGGGCTGTGATAAAAGCCCATTTGAAAAAAAAAAATCAATCCGAAACATTAAAGTGGAAATAATTCTACACTCAGCTACAGAAAATACGAAATGCATTTCATTGATGAAAAGCTTTTAAATATAATAGAGACTCCCATTTCCTAATCCATAAAATGAGAGGTCTGGGTCAGGCGACCTTGAAGGTCATTTGTCTCCCTTTGTTTTGATTTCAGGCGTCTTAAAACTCCCTTGCTGCAGATTTTTAAGAGGCTCAGGGTTTTGGGTTTGTTTACATCTCTCTGCTGTTTTATATATTTTTTTCTGTTCGCTCCCCATTTCTGTCTGCATTTAGAACTTGGATATGTGTGGGTCTCCATGTGTGGCAACCCTCCTTGCTAAGCATATGTAACCAAGATCCCTTCCATTTTTAATACTCTGTGATTTTCATAATGCCTGCACTTGTTTTTGCCATCTGAAAAATAGAAGCAATAATTCTTGCGTCTCTCCTTCTCCAGCTGCTGAGTCTTGGGTATTTGGAATATTAGATGTAAATAATAGCCAGGGAAGCTCCCTGCTGCCTTGTGTTCTCAGAGCTCTGCTCTAGACTGTGACAACCCTGGAATACTTAAGTGTCCCACTTTTCACTGCCACCCGCCCTCCTTGTCTCCAAGCACACAGCCCAGCTCCAACGCCCTTCCCCAAGGTAAAGCACAGAATTAATTTCTCATGTGTCTTTCTCACGCTCAGCTCCTACATCAGGGCATGAGGACTTCTAGAATACCTGAAACTGTGCTTCTTCAAGTTCATTCAGTCCCAGCAAGAGGCCCAGCAGGTACACCACCAGCCCTTTAACAGGTGGCCTGTTCCTTCTAGAGCAGATCATCATGACATGAGGCTGGCTCGCTCTTTCTCTCCTCTGCCATCAATTCAAGGCACTTTTTCATTGGAGTACATTGTGTATTACCCTGACATAAGCCCCCATCCTTCCTTTTTCCTCCCTCCCTCCATCCCTCCCTCCCTCCCTTCCTTCCCTCATTTCTTCCATCCTTCCTTTCTTTTTTCTTTTTCTGATTCCTTTCCTTTCTCATCTTCTTTTATCAAATGCTTCTTCACCCCAAGAAAAGTTGACAGGCTACTCCGTATTCTCCAGCACAGACTCTTCAGTTTTAAACAAAGAGAGCACTTTCTTACACTCTTTATTTTAAGCTCCTCACAGTGGTCAGGAGGAAGTGAGGTAAATCTGTGGCTTAACCAGCCTTGCAGCTGGGGGCCTTTGTTAAAGGGATAGGTAGCACCTCCACATTAGCACTTCTGTTCTAGCCACATAGGCAATAATCCATTCCTGCCTGGAATGTTCATGGGCTGTGTGAGGAGCCCAGCAGGGTCCTGGTAGGTCATGATAAATCTGGGGTGGGAGCAAATGAACTCAATTCTTGCACAAGTTCAGGTGAGTGGATACTAGCGATGAAGGACAATGGACAGTGAGCAAGGTTTCCCTCTATGGCTGCCTCTTCTGTGTGTACTTTCCCTGTGTTTACAAATTGTCATTTAATTTTAAAAACAAATGATCAGACCATAATTGCTAAGCCATTAAGCAGATGAGTCAGACAAGGTCACTGGCTATCCTTCCTGGTAGACCTAGGATTTCTACCAAGGTTTCTGACAGCAGAGTTTTTCATCAAACTGCTGGTCAGCTCTGTCCTGCCAGCCCACTCACAAATAACCACACAAAGTACATTATTAATTATAAATGCTCAGTTGATAGCTCAGGCTTGTTACTAACTGGTTCTTACAACTTAAATTAACCCATATTTCTATCTAAGTTTTACCATGTGGCTCATGGCTTGTTACCTAATTTTCTGCCCATCCTGCTTCCTCTGTATCTAGCTTGCAACACTTCAGGCTCTGTCCTTTTTCTTCCCAGCATCCTCCTAGTCTGGCTCTCCTGCACAATGCCTTCCTAGCCAGCTATAGGCCAGTCAGCTGTTTATTAACCAATGAGAATAAAACATACTTACAGTGTACAAAGATAGTTCCACAGCAGGTTTCTGTGCTTGCAAATCTGGGTTCTTATCAGGTGTTCGTGTGTTTTTCTTATCTACTTAAAATGGCAACCCTCTAAGACCGATATTGGTAACTTCCACTTGCAGTTTTGCTCTGGAAAGTTCATCACCTTGTGCAAGCCGAGCTCATGCTGCACGTGGCAAGGGCTCTGGAACCCTGAGTTACTTCACAGTCAGCCTTTGTGATTTCCTCTCCAAACAGCCAAATCACCCCCTCCCCAGCAAGGAAGCAAAGAGCTGGCTGTCAAACTGTCTTCTGCCCTCAATAGGCAAACTCTCTGGCATGTTTTGTGGTTTTTGTAAGTGTGCACTTGAGCTCTGAGGAACTTCTAGCTGCACAGGCTGCTGTGTTGCTCTCCAAGGCAGGTGCCATGTACTCAGCATCCCTCTGTCCTTCCATCTGGGCCTACTGCTCAGTTGGGGAAGTTGCATTATCAGTCACCCATATGGTGTGAGCTGCAGCTCACTTGTCTGTATGGGGTGCATTGAAAGCTTCTAACGAAGGTGGCAGCTTTGCCACCCCATTTGGAAGCTGAAGCATGGCACCAGGAGTCCTGCAAACCAGATAATGCCATGCACAAGATGTGGTTGTCATGGGATATCCTTTGGGACATGGAATCTGTTGGTCAAATCCTTTACCATCTCTGCCACCCTTCCAGAACAACTTAGTAAATGGCACCCTTGCTTGCTACAAAGTAGGAAAACATCTGCATGGTGGAACTTGCCAGCAAAAACCACTGCAGCCAAATCCAACTCAAACTTCTCTGTAACAGAGTAGCTTCCTTCCTTTGGTTCTAGAACATTGACCTCCTGGTACAGTAGTATTTAAACTTCATAAATAAACCTTTCCCTTTCTCTTTCTGCTAATCCCCCTTCCAGGCTTTGAGAACTTGAACTTTTCCTTGGGTTTACTTAATTATTCTTAGCACAAGGAGATGGGAAAACCTTAAATGCATCACTGGGGAGAGAGGGATGCTGGGAAGAGGTGAGCAGCTTCACCCTGCCTGGGCATGGCAGCCATTCTCAGGACCTAGCACAGAAGCTGGATGTCAAGCCAGGGACCAAGAAACCACCTAGAAAAGGTGCTCAGATACCGAAGGGCAGTGCAGAAGAAAGGGATCCTGGGGGAACTCTAGCATACCACAAGCATTCCTGAGATGCTGAAAACTTCCAGCTGTCCCCATCAGCCTCACATGGTCTGAAACAATGTATGGCTTTTGTCCAGAAGGAAGACACCTCTGCCATGCAAGTACATTAAGTTCCAGCTCTGCAGACAGGATCATGCAAAACTGACTGGGACCATGGATGAGAAAGCCAGTCCTGTGGGGGCAGAGAGGGCTGAGAGACAGGGACAGCTCCTGGGCTTTAGGGAACCTTTGCCACTAACAAGGACAGGAATGCATTCCAGGCTATAGTGTGTTCAGAATTTTGGATAATGCTTGTGTTTATGGAAAGTCTCTTGTGCTCTAGGGTGACAGCTGTTTCTCTGATTCAAAGAGACTTGGCTGGTAGTGGAAAGAGAGGACAGGGGATGAGAACATGAAAGTTACTTTTGAGATACTCCTCGGGGTCTCATGAAATACCCGGAAGTGACCCTCCTACGATGGAGCTGTCATGTTTTCATCTTTGAGGAAAGCAACAGGAGCCAGGTACTGTACTGGTGTCAAATGTAAAAATAAATACAACGATTTCTACCAGCTAGATGATATCTACTAGAGGGTGCAGACAAATAAACTAACCCTGTCAACACCATACATTAAAGTCTGTGCAAGAGATAGGAAGAAGATGAGGTGAAGATTCCATGGACTCTTGAGTGTCCCGTGGAATAGTACTTTAACTATGTAAAGATGTGTTACATTTGTTTATGCTGCATTTGTTTAACTATGTAAAGGTGTGTTACATTTGTTTATGCTGCATTTGTTTATGTAAAGATGTGTTACATTTGTTTATGCTGCATTTGTTTAACTATGTAAAGATGTGTTGCCTCGCCTGCCTAAGGCACCTGATTAGTTTAACAAGAAGCTGAATGGCCAACAACTAGGCAGTAGAGGGAAAGGTAGGGCTGGCAGGCAGAGAGAATAAGTAGGAAGAGGAATCTAGGCTTGAGAGGGGAGAGAAGAGAACAAGGGAGAAAGAAAGGGAGATGCCAGGGGCCAGCCAGCCAGGCAGCTGCCAGCCAACCAGATGTGGTGGTATTCTAATTGTACTGAAATGTGATTTTGATTGTATGTTAATAAATAAAGTTGCCCGGGGGTCAGAGCTATTAGAGCCATAGACAGAGTGTGGCAGTGGTGGCACACGCCTTTAATCCCATAGATCTCTGTGTGTTCAGGGATACAGCCAGCATTGGAGACATATGCCTTTAAGACCTAGGGGGCTGTACATTCAGACA